GATTTAGGGTTTTTGGAGTTTAGGGTTTCGGGTTCAGGGTTTAGTGAGTGTTGCGACCGAGGAGTTCCGTATGAAGATATCAAGCCCTGCATAGACCGGCGTTTGACAGGTAGAGTTGCAAGACTCGACAAACCCGAACCTGCAAACCTCAGCCGATCAGGGCAAGTGCAGAATAGCAACATCTACGGCCAACTTTGGAAATTGATGGCCCGCAACGTCTGAACCCTGCTGAAAACCCGCGACCATAAGCCAGGGGCATGTCATCAAAAAGCTGCAGTGCTTGCTGCCACTGCCCACTGTGGTCGCAGGAACGGATCGCTCCAGTGTACCTGCTTTAGTGTCAGAGGTTTAGAATGCATTCGCTAGCATTCAATTCAAGCTTTCTCGTGAAGCACCAAAAGATTTGTGCTGCGCGGCGAGACCCCAAATGCTCAGACGCACAATGGCACCGAGCACACAATCACCAAATCCAACGCTTGCATCAGCAGGGGCAGTGGTAATGCCAAACCAAACAGAACAAAGCAGGAAAAGAAGAACATGACTGTGCCAATGCTGATTGTCATGACGGTAACGGATGTGGTGATCGGCGATGACGATGAAACTGACCATTATGATGGTGCCGGTAGTACTGGTCATGGCGATGGCCAATGTTGGTGACGATTATGAGGAGGATGGTTGACACTGGGAATGATCGGAAGCTGATAATGATTGCGCTTCGGATTACGATCATGATCATGATAACGGTCATGCTTAAGGTTGTGGTAACAACACCCATCCCTTCACGAACAAGTACTGTACAGAAGCCAAGTTACGCGACCACATCTGGGCGGATCTTTGACCTGCGGCAGGAGGTGAGGGGCGCTAGGGCTAAACTCTAAATCGTGGTGCTCGACCGCTTTCGAGCTCAGGACATTTGAAAAAAGGTGATCGAAAACTAGCATGAAAGCAAAAGTACATGAGCGATCATGACGTTTACCTTAGGGAATGCACATTACCAGAAATGCAGGAGGCCGGTGCGCAATTTCAAGACGAGGCCTATGGAGCGCGATGCAAGCTGTAATACGGGATATGACCTTGAATAGAAGAACACCCATATCTTCCCAGGCATTTACAGACTGCAGTGCCGGAGATACAAATGCGCTGATAAATGGATGGATGGATGGATGGATGGATGGATGGATGGATGGATGGATGGATGGATGGATGGATGGATGGATGGATAGGTGATTAGATGGATGTATGGACTCGCCCTAGGGCAAGCGCGGAAGCTGCGTGACAGTGGCGGCTGTGACAGTGGGGGCTTTTGGGGCTAGGCTTAGGATCTGGGCATCACGACAACATTTCAAGAATGCCAACAGACACAGGAATGGGTCGCTTAAAGCGCAACTGCCCATAAATATGTGTTGCTGCTATGCTGCTATTGCGACGTCTCAGCAGTGCAATGGGCGACAGGGAAGGGGGGTCTACAGCGGTGTTTGCATTTTCGGTCGGGGGCAATTCGAACGAAGAACCCAAACCCACTCACCAACCCAGCCACCAATTGACAGGGCATCACACCATCGGAGACGAGAGCCTTACCAACGCAAACCCCCACCAACAGGGCGAGCAGGGGGTATCATACCAGAAGGGGTGGTTTTCAGACGCTGCACCATGCATGCATGCATATTACTTCCTATGCATGCGCACACAAGAACACACCATGCAGGCTTATCACTGTCATTACTATTAATCTATTCGTGTTAGTAGTATTGCTAATGCTATTAGTATTACTAGCAAGTATGCTCTTATGATTATATTCTCCCTTGATTCTCCAAGCCTTTATTGACAGATCAGGCCTGGGCATGGATCGGAACATGCCAAGGACGAGCTGCCATTGTCCACCCTTGTCCTTACTTGCAGGGTTTAGGGTTTAAAGGGTTAGTCGTTACTTGCAGGGGTTCCCGTGGCAAGAGGCCACCCTTGCTTTCGAAAGACGCGCTTTCAAATCAAAAGGATGACAAAGCTACAGACCCCAAGCCCGAAACCCTCGAACATAAAACCCTGAACCCCTGCCCTAAACCATGAACTCCAAAGCTAGCGTAGTTTTGGTGCTTTTTGAAACATTTCTGAAGACGCACCTCAATAGGAAACATGATGGGGAATCAAAATGTTTGCCGAAGTGCCACCTAGCTAGAGATACTGAGCCCAAATCCTGAACCCTAAACCCAAACCCTAAACCCCAACTCTCAGCTCCAAAGCTAGTGATATTGAAGCCAAAGAGCGCACGCACTCAAGGCCGAGTTGTAGCTGACAGCATTCAGCTTCACGGCCCTCTGCGGCATCTCCATGAACCTTGGGCTTCCAGAGGCAGGGTTCTTGCTTCAGGGTTTAAGGTTCAAGGTTTAGGGTTGAGGGTTTAGGGTTTAGGGGTTAGGGTATGGGTTTTTTAGTGTTCGGGCTTTGAGTTCAGGGTTTAGGGTTTGTTAGTGCTAGGGCTTTGGGTTCAGCAGGATTTGTGTTTAGGTCTGTCTTGGGGTTTCAAAGGAGGGCAAAAGCCCCCTCAGGCTCGGGAGTCATCGGTTTACGGGTTCTGGCACAGGCACTTCCAATGCCAAACCCTAAACCCTAAAC